ATATATATATATATATATATATTTTTTTTTTTTTTTTTTCCTGATTGATAAATGATTATAGCATCCCTCCCAGCATTAGTTTAAGCTAACGAGGCAGACTGGTCTTTCCTGGTCGTTCCTAAGTCATTAAGAGTAAATGAGTTTCAAAAGAAATAGCAGGCATCCTAGTAACAACTGGAAGTAGCTGTTTGAGTCGCCCTCACCATGTCCTCAGATCTAATCTGCATGACCTTATTAACTCACAGCAGGCTTAGTGAATGGCTTCATTTCACATTTGGTTAATTTCTCCCCCAAAATGCATGTCATGTATTTTCAATAGACTGTATTTCCAGCAGTCAATAAAATGAACACAAGGAAAAACACTTTGCTGCCTTAATTTCTTTTTAAAAGGTAAACATCTCCCATTAGTTCATGCCATTGGCATTTTTCCATGGTTTTATTTTTCATGTTGTATCCATACATGAAATTAGATACTGCTAAATTTAGTAAGTATTACTAAATTTATATGATAATGAAATGGAATGATTCTTTGACTATTAAACATGTGGATCCTAGTTCTGTTTTATAGTCATTTTCACGTTATTCTTAGACACATTAGATTTTATCCTATTTTGCATTTAAATGACACATGGAAATGAAGCATTTGTAGTATATTTGACCTATATCTTTTAATAAAAAATACTTGTGAGAATGAGAATGAGCTCTAATTGGATGCGGTGAGGCAATTCACTTGATCAGAATTCAAGCAAGAGGTTAGCCTCAGTCAGCCTAAATTTTAATTGGGTACGTGGGTCTAGAGTTTTAAAACACAAAGGCGAGAGGGATAAGGGAGTTAAGGCCATGGTGGCATCAGACCAAGAACCAGAGCCCAGTAGAGGGGCATGAAACTCCATCCATATGCCCAAGCCTCCATCTTTACCCAAAACCGAAAAAGAAAACCAAACTCACTGCTGTCAAATTGATCCCGACTCATAGTGACCCCTCCTTGGGTTTCCGAGGCAGTATCTCTACGGAAGTAGATTGCCCCATCTCCCTTCCAAGGAGTGGCTGGTGGGTTTGAACCATCAGCCTTCTAGTTAGCAGTCAAATGGCCTTGGGCACTATACCACCAGAGTTCCCCATCTTTACCCAGAGGACCCTATTCTATCAGAAGAAAAATCAAGAATGAACGAATGAATCATTTTTTACTGAATCATTGTAATCTTGATCACTAAACCCCCCTATTGGGTAGCTTTACCTGTTTGTCCTTCCTGCAGCTTAAAACATACTTGGTTAAAACCAACCAAAGTAAAATGAAAACAGCAATAGCAATTGAAAAGTACTCTCATCTCTGTCTCCAGCCAGCTCTCCTGTTAATGCGTTTGTCTTTTGGGGCTTCACGGAGGCTGGAGACCTTGGAGTCCTTTGATTTCACTCTCTCTGGTCCCCAGTGTGCCATCAGCTGCCTCTTGCTGCCCTGTCTTATGTCTGTAACATCTCAGTGTCTGCTTTCTCCATTTCCCCATTGTCACTCCCCTCTGTCTCTTTCAGGACTGTGCAGTGGTCTCCTGTCTTTGGTCTCCCTACCTCTCGTCTCTTATGGACTATAGCCCACACACTGCTAACTCAGTTGTTTTCCTCAGAGCACAGCCCTGAACAAGCTATTTTTCTCAGTGACTGTCGTGTATCTGTGATTCCCGGTAGCCTGCAGGGTCCTAAGTCCTTAGCACATTCAGGTTGGTCCCAACCTATCTCCCCAGCCTTATCTCGGAGCCCTTCACATGCCCTGTGTGGTGGCCAGTGATGGTCTTGCTCCTGGTTATCACATGCTTTCTGCTACCACAGTCCCTCCCTACACTCCAGCCCTACTCCTTACGCAAGTGCTAGTACCAGCTGGATGAAAAGGCATTCCTTCATCTTCCCTGAAATAAACTCACTCTTATCACCTCTTGCTCCACAACAATAAACATGCAGCTTTATTTGCTAAATATAATATTTTCCCCCTAAAAAATTATCAGTGTGAAAGGAAAACCTGTAGGCATCAGGATGTGGGAGAGAGGGGTCTCAAAGCTGGAGCTGTTCCCTTTTAGATGGTAGGTAGGAGGGAAATCTTAGACAAAGGCATCAGGGCTATTTTTGTTTTAATTAAAAACCACTGCCGTTGAGTCAATTCTGACTCACAGTGACCCCCATTCGGGTTCCAAGACAGTAAATCTTTATAGAAGTAGATTTTCCCATCTTGCTTCCATGGATTGGCTGGTAGGTTTTAACCACCAACCTTCTGGTTAGCAGTCAGATGCCTTAGGCACTGCACCACCAGAGCTCCTTGTTTTAATTAAAGTATAACATTAAACTTCCTGAGTATGTCGCACCATGAACTTTCACATCTATGTACCCCACCCTTTAATGCCTATGTGGGCAGTAGAAGGTGGGGCTGGGGTCAGGTGCCTGCATTTAAGTGGCCTTATGCCAAAAGATCTAGAAAACAAGCCCGCTAGCTCAGAGAAGGACAAGGAAGTTCACCATCTGCCCAGGGCTCTGGGTAGGAATAAAGACTTCCTGAGAAGAGTCAAACCCCAAGTCAACTCCAAACCCCCTACCATAGAGTCAATTCCATGACTCTATAGGACAGTAGAACTGCCCCATAGGGTTTCCAAGGCTGTAAATCTTTATGAAAGCAAATTGCCTCATCTTTCTCTGGTGGAGTGTCTGGTGAGTTTGAACTGCTGATCTTTTGGTTAGCAGCCAAATGCTTTAACCACTGTGCCACCAGAGCTCCTTCAACTCCTCCAGCGGTGAATTTTCTGGTTAGCAGCCAAGCATCAACCAGGGATGCCTGTGGTTCTGCAAAAGCCCCAAATGTGCTCCAGCACTTGCTTGGCCCTATGCTCCCCAAGCCCTGCCCCAGGGAATCCCCCCCCCCCCCCAGATCCCTCAGGCCTCTACAGTGTCTCCTCTGCAGGGAAGCCCAATCTGACCACACTCCCCAAAGCAACACTTCTGTTTCTCTTCCTTCTTTTCTCTCCTTTTTCTTCATGGTCCTTGGCTGCACCTGACATTATGTTGTATATGTTTTGCTTACTGTCTGTCTTGCCTTCTAGATTGAGGGTAGAGACCATCCAATGGTGGTGTGCACAGTGACTGACATAGGGTGACCTCTCCATGGTATTTGTTTAATAAACGAATGGGCTACCTGGGAGAAGGATCTGTTTCCTTTTGGCTTTTTTATGTTCTACATAACATCAACAACTACTTTGCCTGGTGTGATGCTTTCCTTCCAGTGGACACTCAGAAGATATGTGGGGATGGACTAAGAACACCTGTAACCACTAGTGGCCTTGAGGCTCTGTGTGGTTGAGAAGGGTAAGGCAGTGTATGCCGGGTTGGTGGGAACAACCAACCACGCTCCTGGGAGTAATCAGACTGACCCTCGGTGCTGCCATCTGCAACCACTGCTGCTTTTGCACCAAGGCCCCCTCACCACCACCACCAGCAGCTCTGCTATAGCTTCTGACTAAAGAGACAGTGGAAGAACCTGAATTTATTCGTGCAGCTCAGGGCTGCCACTCATGGCAAATAATGAAGTAGGGGTTGACCTCTCCCTCCCCTTTTCTGGGCATTGAGCTGAAACCAACAAATTCATTTTATTTAGCACCACAGGCTGAACTCAGGGAATGTGGTCTGTGATAGGCGAGTGCTTTAGTCACTAATTAAGTCACCTGGGTTCAGATAAGCCCTCTCCCGTGGGGCACCAGTGCTGCTTATCTGCGTCCATCCAGATACTTACTTGCCTTCAGAGTGCAGTTTGCCAAAGGAATTGGTAATATGCTGGGTAAAAGTATGTCAGCCCAAAGAAAATATGTTTCAATCTCATAGAATTCAGCAAATTTCTTCCGCCAGTCAAGGTTTTTCTGATTTTCTTAGTAAACCTCTATTTGTTATTGTTGGGTGCCATGGCATCAGTTCTGACTCATAGTGACCCATGTGACAGAGTAGAACTGCCACATAGGGTTTTCTAAAGTATGTCAGCCCAAAGAAAATATGTTTCAATCTCATAGAATTCAGCAAATTTCTTCCGCCAGTCAAGGTTTTTCTGATTTTCTTAGTAAACCTCTATTTGTTATTGTTGGGTACCATGGCATCAGTTCTGACTCATAGTGACCCATGTGACAGAGTAGAACTGCCACATAGGGTTTTCTAAACTGTGATCTTTACAAAGGAGCCCTGGTGGTACAGTGGTTAAGCACCTGGCTTCTAACCAAAAGGTTGGCGTTTTGAACCCTCCAGCCACTCTGCAGGAGAAAGGTAGCCGTCTGCTTCCATAAAGATTACAGCCTTGGAAACCCTATGGGGCAGTTCTTCTCTGTCCTATAGGGTCACTGTGAGTCCAAGTCAACTCAACAGCAATGAGCTGGTCTCATTTGTTTGGAATCTATGGGATCAGATTGCCAAGGAGCCACTGGGTAGGTTCAAACTGCCAACCTTTCCAGTGCTTACCAATTGCACCACCAGGGCTGCTTAGCCTCTATGCAGAGTTCTGAGTTAAGTTTGTAATTTCTGGACCTTGACAAAGACCCACCTAAAGCACGTTTCGTCTGTTTTCATTTCCTAAGAACATAAAAATTGGACAGCTGTTACATTTGACTTTGTTAGAAATAAGCCATAGATTAGAACAGCAAACGTTATGGTTCTCTACTGGGGCAAAATAAGGAGGCTCTGTTTTCACTTACAACCTAAGTCTTAATCTGGAGGTTTAAATTTTTATTGTGATTTGGATGAAAGTTTGCAGAGCAAGTTCAGTTTCCATACAGCAGTTCAAACACATTTTGCCTCATGACACTGACTGCAATTTCCCACAATGTAATAGCTTTCTTCTCACTTCCTCACCATAGTTACCTCTTCCCTGTGTCCTTCCCTCCCCTGCACTTCCACCCCCCTGAGCTGTCTTCCTCTGCAAACACTGCCCTTCTGTTCTCCCATGATGGATCGCTCCAAGTAGTGTATCTACCTGATGTAAATGTTCACCCCATATGCCTGTCTATTGTTTGGCTGGAAGCCACAGGAGTAAGCTCAATTCCAGACCTGAACGGTAGCTAAGGGGCCATAGTCTCAGGGGTCTCACCAGGCTCTATCACATCAGCAAAACTGCTAGTCATTTTTAAAGTATTGCCTAAGGCACTTGACTGCTACCCACAAGGCTGGCGGTTCAAACCCACCAGCCACTCCTCGGAAGGAAGGTTGGGCAATCTAGTTCCATAGTAATATCACCTCAGAAACCCAAGGAGGGGTCACTATGAGTTGGGTCAGACTCCACAGCACATAACATCAACAACAACAATATTTAATGAACCGTGTTTTGCTAAATTTTTTCCTCCTTTCTACTCAGATCCAAATGTAACCCATTGCAACTGCTGATTTTGTTCCTGTGAGAGCTGGCACCCTGATGCTTGGTCACTAATCATGAGCATTTGCCTGGGAGGGGCCAGCCCACCCTATTATCACCACCTGGCAGGAGGGACATGCACCCAGGATCGAGGTGTGTCCTATCTAGGACTCCTGACCTATTATTTTCTGGCCTTATGGAAACTTCCAGTCCAACATTTCAAATCATGGGGATTTTTAATGTAGCTTTCTTAGAAGAAGAAATGGGTTCAGGCTTTAGGTAGAGAAGTATCGTATCCATAAAGATCACCCCTTTAAAGGGCAACTTAAAACTCATGTAACTGTAGTTATGAGAGTAGAGAATTAGCAAGATGTACAGGAAGGCTGTGTGGGGCAGTTTCCCTTCTATTTTTTAAGGAACACTTGCTTGGATTTGAAGAAGATCATGTAGTTAATACGAAAGGCAACCATTTAATTTGACATGCTCACATGGGGCGCACAATCATAAAGAGGACTCAATAATAAACGAACCCCACAAAGAGCACACATTTTTGTCTACAGAAAACTGGTTTCCACTCAATCTAGACCCCACCTGCCTGGAATGTCCTACATGCATTACACCCTACTTCCTTTAGGGTTTTGCCCAAATACCAGTGAGCGCTTTGCTAGTGCATCTGTTTCAAATTGCATACCCCCATCTGCTTCATGTTGTTTTGTTCTTTCGAATGTCTATTATCCAAAATATTACATATATTTTTATTATTATTATTTTCTATTTCCTAACTCTCAAGCCCCTTATCTGCTCTGTTCACTGCTGTTTTCTCAGTGCCTAGATTAGCACTGGCACACAGTAGGTGCTCAGTATTTGTTCAGTGAATGAATGATGATGAAGATCTTTCTGTATCAAAGGCTGGTGTTGTACTCCCTGGTGCACTGCACACGAGAGCCAGGTGGGTGAGCGAACGTGTGTGAAGGTAGGAATGGCTAGAACTAGGGGAGGCGCCTGTTCTTCCCCACTGTAGGCGGGGGGGGGCCCGCGGCTACATTGCAAAGGTGTGCAGACATGATATGGCAAACCTTTCCATACCATCACTGCAAGATACACATTTACTGGACAAGCTTTCACTTTCCCGAAGTCTCCCATGTCAGCAGCATGTTTGCTTTCTGGTCCCACCTGTAAAACCCCAATACATAGGGCTGCCACAGAGAAACTGAATCACTAGGCCATGAGTGTCTAATATAATTCCTTTCTCTATTCATGGAACCAAAACCAAACAGGGTCTGCACAGTTGTGCTGTAACTATACTGGCAAATGGGAGAATCGAGGCAAAAATATCCTTTCATCTGTTAGCTGCTCTGGAGTTGCTCCTGACTTATGGTGACTCCATGCACAGCAGAACAAAATACTGCCCAGTCCTGGACGCCCCCATGATTGGATCAGACCATTGAGATCCTTCTGGTAGCGTAGTGCCTAAGGCATTTGACTGCTAACTAGAAGCCTGGTGGTTCAAACCCACCAGCTGTTCCTCAGAAGGAAGGTTGGACAATCTACTTCCGTAGTGATAGCACCTTGGAAACCCAAGGAGGGGTCACTATGAGCTGGATCCGACTCCACGGCAGTGTGTTTGGTTTTTGGTTTTGGACACAAAAGCTTATGCTGGCTTTTTAGCAATCCCATTACTAGGTATATATCCTAAAGAAGTGAGAGGCAGGACATGAATAAATATATGCACACCCATGTTCATCACAGCACTATTTACAATAGCAAAGAGATGGAAACAATCTAAGTGCCCATCAGCCAAGGATTGGATACACAAACTGTGGTATGTACACACAGTAGAATACTATGCAACCCTAAAGAATCATGTAGAATCTGCAAAACAGCCCATAATGTGGATGAACTTGGAGGACATTATGCTGAGTAAAATAAGTCAATCACAGGACAAATACTGAATTAGTCCACTGTTTTAAAAAGTCAAGGAAAGGTTTATATTTGAAAGGAAACTTTCTTTGTTGGTTACCAGGGATGGAAGTGGGGGAGAGGGGAGGGAAAATTCCTAGATAGGTTGGGAAAAAAAAAAACAAAACATATAGAAACCAAAGATTATTAGTGGTTGCCAGGGGTAGGAGGCAGGGAGAAAGGGGAAGCTTCTGTTAGCCAGGCATTGAGTTTAGGCTAATGGTGGTGGAATGTTTTGGAAAAGGATAGCAATAATGGTGGCACAACATGAAAAATGTCATCAATGTCCCTGAGCTGTCAACAAAATTCAGCTGTGGAATTTTGTTATGTTGCTGAATGTCTTGTGTATGATTTCACAGCAATGAAGTGAAAAAAAGTTTATGCTGACTTTATTAATAATCACCAAATGTTCATCAACACGGGAAAAGAGAAACAAATGGAACCTATCCATCCAGATCTTCAGGTTTTCCCTGATTTTTCAGCCATCGCTCACCAGCCCTTTCCTGCTAGTCCGTTTCAGTCTGCAAGCTGCACTGTATCCTACCCAACATGGAAGCCCCCACTGACAAGCCACGGCTGCGCCTGATGTGTTTTGACCAGATGCCCGATGACTCCCACATACAAAAACATTCTGCCACTGAACCACACAAAACCAAGGATCAAATCCATTGCCAGCCAGTTGATCCCTACTCACAGCAACCCTATAAGAAAGCAGAACTGCACCACAGGGTTTCAAGGCTGTGAATCTTTACACAATCTGTCACGTCTTTCTCCCACAGAGCAGCTAGTGGGTCTGAACGATCAATCTTTTGGTTAGCAGCCAAGAACCTGTGCTACCAGGTCTCCTTTACTGAACTACCGCTGCCAACCTACCCAGCAGCTGGAGAAAGACTGGGATAACGTGGTGATCTGCTCTCATAAAGCTTATAGCCTAGAAAAACCCTTTGGGGCCGTTGGACTCAGTCCTATCAAGTCACTGTTAGAATCCATTCCACGCCACCTAACAACAACAACAAAAGATAATAGTAATGGAAACGTCTGAAAAGTCCTTTGCCCTGCGGTTCCTGCCTTGGCCAGGTTGGCAGCTGCACCCAGGAGGTGGACCAGAGGATTTAGTCCACCACCTTGTGGCGGCGGTGGTGGTGGTGGTACGGCAGCACAAACTCAGCCCTTGCCCGATTTCCACACAGGGGGCGGGCCCTCCGCGAGGGGCGTGCCTTCCCATGGCCCCGCCCCGTCCGCCTTTCCGCCAGGCAGCGAATGAGCCAGCGCACAAGAGGGGCGCGGTGGGAGGCCCGGGGATAAGCTGCAGGGGTGGAAAAGCGCTACCGGGCCTCGCGCCGACGACCGAGCACGGCGCGGCCGGGCAGGAACCTAGCTCCCACCGACGCCTCCCGAACTACTTTCCTCCGGCACCAACATGGCTGCGGCCCTACGCACTGCGGGCGCCGTTCTCCGCGACTGGTGTAAGTGGCTGTCGCGGCCGCCTTGGGGCCGGGTCCCTGCGGCCGCGGACAGCTTGCTCCGGCCCGGCCCGGGGGCTTCTGGGAGCGGCGCCGGGACGGGGCGTCGCGGAGAAGGCCCGGATGGGGCCTTCCCCTGGGAGGGTCGAGGAGCAGGTAGCGGGGCGCCGCGGGCAGTGGCTGAGTTTCTCAGAGCCGTCGTGTTTCTCCTCGGTAAAATCAGGATAGTGACAGACCCACCTAGTCACGGCGCTAGGAGGAGTCTGGGTGAGAAGGTTTGTTCCGGGGCCAAGCACAGAGAGATCGTAGTCATCATGACCGTTGGCATCCGCCCTGAAACCTTGGAAGGGTGCTGTGGGGCCGCTGTACGTAGGATTCCCGCCCTGGAGATGGAGGTCACGGTGTGTCTGTGTCCACTGAGGCCCTGCCCTAGCCCATGGCATCCCCTCACTTCTCCTAGGCGGCGGGACCCACGTGGGACAGACGGGCTGGTGTTTTTTTAGAGAGACTTGGAAAACAAATGGGACCTCCAACGTTTTTGAGACACACGGTGCTTAGGGGTTGTGTCCACAGGATGAGCTGATGGGACTTTGGTTCAGACTCTCCTGGGTTGGGATACCAGCATTCTTAATAACTGTGAGACTGCGGTCAAGGCCCCCCGGCCTCGATGGAGCTTCAGTAAATGGAGGAGGAGACAGGTCATACCTCATAGGATGGCGATGAAGACTAGCAGTGTTCAGGAGAAGCGTCTAGCACGGTGCCTCGTTTGCAGTAGATGGAAACCAGAAAACCCACTGCTGCAGCGTCCGTTCCGACTCACAATGACCCTATAGCACAGAGCAGAACCGCCCTGAAGGGTTTCCAAGACTGCTGATCTTTACAGAAGCACACTGTTGCCCCCAGAATGGCTGGTCGTTTCCATCCACCGACCTACGGTTAGCAGGCAGACACTTAAGCACTGTGTCACCAAGGCTCCAGGAGGTGACACGCCCCTGCCCCGCTGTCAAGCGGATTCTGACTCTTAGCGACCAGAGACACTCAGAATCTTCACTGTTGTCAATATGGAAAGAGCTGCCATTGCTGTTAGTTGCCTTCCTGTGATTGCAATTCATGGCGACCCGTGTGGGCAGAGTAGAACTGCCCTATAGGGTTTTCAAGGAGCTCTGGTAGCGTAGTGGCTAAGGCACTTGACTGCTAAGTAGAAGGCTGGCAGTTCAAACCCACCAGCCACTCCTCGGAGGGAAGGTTGGGCAATCTACTTCCGTAGTGATACTGCCTGGGCAACCCAAGGAGGGGTCGCTATGAGTCTGGGCCGACTGGACAGCACATAACAACAACAACATAGGGTTTTCAAGGCTGTGACTTTTCGTTCTTTCTTTTTTAAATTAACTTTTTTGATGACTTGGGTGGAAGTTTACAGAGTAAATTGGTTTTCATTTAACAGTTCATTCATGTTTTGTTCTGTGGCACTGATTACAGTCCCCACAATGTAACGGCACTTTTCCCACTTCCTCTCTGGGGTTACCATTTCCCAGTGTCCTTCTTTCCTTTCCATTCCTGCCTTCTGAGCTTTATCTTTGGGCAAATGCTGCCCTTTTGATCTCTTATGTTTGGTTGCTCTAAGACGTGCATACCTTCCTTGGTGTTATTGGTCACCTTATTTATAGGTCTGTTGTTTGGTTGCAAGTTAAGCCATGGGAGTGAGTTCAGTTCTGGGCCCAAAAGCTGATCAAGGGCCATAGTTTCTGAGGTTCAACCAGCCTCTATGAGACTGGTAAGCTTGGTCTTTTTTTTTTTTTTTTTT